CTGAAACTAAGGGGGAATGCATTCCCCATGCACTTCTGCATTTTTTATTCTTTGCCCTTCCCCCCTGCCTCCTGCCTGGAATGCAGATGTGATGCCTGGAGATGGAGTAGCCATCTTGTAACCATTAGGACAGAAGCCACCAACGGTTTCCATTGGCTGGGTGGGGCCTGAGTTCTTGATGACTTCCTTTAGCAGCTCACCAGCCTCGAGTGCGTAACTCTAGATTTCTTATCACTTGAGAAAGATTAGCCCCTATTTGGTCAAGCCACTGTGGTTCAGTTTCTGTTTCATGCAGCCGCACACCTTTCTAACTGACACAGCTTCCAAGCACATGGCCTCCTCTTCTTCAACCTTCTGGAAGCGCAGCACCCCTATTCCCTCACCAGACTTCTCAGTGGAAAACAAAATGGCAGCAAAACAGATTCAAAGGGCCTGCCAGATCCTATACTGAAGAAAGGAGGAAGGAAAGAAGGAAGGAACGAAGGAAGGAAGGAAGGAAGGAAGGGGGGGAGGAAGGAGGGGAGGGAGGGAATCAAAGAAAGAAAGAGGAAGGGAGGGATAGAGGGATACAGACTGGGGTCTTCCACTTCTGCTTCTAATAGCAGAATGGTCCTGGATATTATAAAGCTGGAAAGGGTGAGATACCACCTGAAGTCTAACATCTCATATAGATGAGATATTACAGCTCAGATCAGAGCCCAGGTTGTACCCAGAGCACCTGGTGGGGAGAGTGGTCTCAGCAGAAGCTGCCAGGTCAGGCCTGGGTTCTGCTGCCCGCTCTCCTGGCTCCTCGAGCCCCTCTTTCCACTTCTTCCTGTTCGCACAGTGATTAGAGCATGGAGCATTTTCTCTGACGGCCTGACAGGTCCCAGATATTGGGGCAGAGGAGGCAAAGCTCCTCAACCAAGGCAACAGCCCTGTCCTAACAGGCCTGAAGCTCACAAGGGGAGCACTGGGGGGACTCCCAGAGCTGGGAGGGACTGTCACCCGCTACCACCCAGTCCAATGTGCTCTGTTAACAGAGGAGGGAACAAGGAGAAGCTCAAGGAGGGCAAGTGCTTATTCAAGGTGACCCAGGGCACCAGGGCCACAACTGGGACCATCCTCAAGAAAGATGTCTTACTCTCTTTCGACTCAGCCCTGAGAAGTCTCTGTTCTCGGTGCTAAAGGCATCAGAAGGAAATACTCATATTTAGCAGTAATTTGCAAACAGAAGAACAATAAAACTCCCAGAACTCTATTGGCTCAAAGCTCAGTATAAAGAAATAGCATTGTTAAAAACGTATGCATGGTTAGATTAAATTAAATGTGTGCTTTAGTCCAATTACTAGGTGTGTGACTTAGAACGAGTCACATCACACCTCTGTACATGTTTCTTCAATTGCAACTGAGGTGGTTGGAGCCTTCCTGAAGATAACTTCCTGCTATAAAACAAGCTTCTGGAAGGCAGAAAACACATCTTAATCCTCTCTATATTCCCAGCACACGGCATGGTCTGGTATGTAAAAGAAGCTCAGGAACATGCTTGTCAAGTGAATGACTGAATGGTTTAGGTGGGACAGTGAATAAACGTGTCTTACATGGCACATGAAAACAAAACTCAGGCCAAAAGGGGCACAGGTTTGGTCTCGGCATGAGACTTAAGAACTGACCAGAAAGGAACATATGCCTATGGGTGGTAGTGAGCTCACTATCACTGAAGGAATTCAAGAAGCTCTTGGTGGCAGAGATGCAATACAGGAAATGGATTGGTGTGCTGGGTGGAAAACTAGAACCTGCACCCTCTCTCGCCCCTTCCAACCCTGAAGTCTCATGGTTCAGTTCCCTCACTGCTGCTGACTAGGTCTTACAAGGAAACACAGTTTAACTTGCCCCCCGACTCCAAATCCAATTTGGGAACATATACCCCGTGAGACCTTTGAAGTCTTTTTCCTACTTCTTTTTTAAATGATGAAGGAACATGACCAGAAGGGATAGATTGGTGCAGTCAGGGTCTCTCTTACCTATTGGCAAAGGTGTCATTTTAGGGGAAATGCTCAGACCACCGCCCCAGCCACTACCCAGTGCCTCTAACTCCACCAATTAGAGCTGCATCCCTTTCTATGTAATGGCTTAGTCCTCAATAGCAGCGGCATCTTAGTCTTACACTTGAAGCTTTTTGCAATGTAATGGAGTGGAGAAAGCCGTACCACATGTGTGTTTAATTGGCCCAAAACCAACTATGTGAATTTAGTAGAGAAAGAGAGACATATTGAAATAAGGAGGGTGATTCTACCCTTTATTCTAGTCAGTGAGTATGTACCCCAGAGTGAGAAATAGAAAAAGAGAATCTCCTATTCTCCCATACGATCGTATTTCCCCTTGGCCTTCTCAAAGTATGAGTGGTATTTGAATAGATTTTCAAGAGGTGTGTGTGTGTTAACTATAATTATGGATTCCTCCTTATACCTTGACTTTAGAATGTACCTTGGTATGAGTGAGAAATCTGGGAGGTATATCCTAAATAGGAGGACCCTGAGAGGTGATGAGAGAGGCATTCATACGGCGATCCTGAAGACAGGCATTGCCCCTGGGCATCCCCAGGGACAGGGTAGCCCGGTTGGCCCTGCAGCCATTGATTAAAGTACAGGACAGCTTTGGTCTCAATGGGTCAGACTAGCCAGCGCTCACCAAAAACCGCAACCCGTCGATGTGATGTTTCTTCACAGCCTTTTCACAGTCCTTGTAGTTCAGCTGAAAAAGAGGAGGGGAGGTGCTGTCAGTGCGGGCAGATTCATGCCATTGGTTCCCATCCCTTGCCTGCCCTAGAAGCTTAGCAATTTGTGGTACTTGTGGCTAGCGAGGTCCCCCCCTCCCCTATCCTGTCTAACAGAGAGGCCCCATCCCTACCTCAGCCCTGCTTTCACTAACTAACCCCTTGGGACTCTCTGAAATGGAGAAATTGCCTGTCTAAGGCCTTGGGGCCAACCCCTAAGGGTTGGGGCACAAGAAAGAGCGCCTTCAGAGCTTCAAAGGGCTGGTCATACGCTCCTCTGGCAAGCAGAAAAGAGCTGAAAGAAGAAAATAAATAGCATCCGTCATCTCGCTACCCAAAGACAACCTCGGTGAAAATGGCGGTGTCTTTCCTTCAGTGGTTTTTCCTAAGCATCTTTCTAAACATTATCGAGGTTATCGTTCGTATTCAATCTTGTTATCTAGACTTTTCCTCCTGAAAAATATAGGCACTGCCTCATGTTATTACAAACTGATTTTGAACATTATTTGAGTTTGCTCCCTATTGCTGAACATTTAAGTTGTTTCCCAAACTGCTGTTCCAATAATGATAATAGAAACTTCTAGCAATTACTGAACACTTGCTATATGGCAGGCACTGTTCTAAGTATTTAAACCAATTTTAAGTCATTTAAGCCTTACATTTTTCAAATGGAGAGTCAAAGGCACAAAGAGTCAAGTAACTCGTATAAGGTTCCCTGGGTAGGCAGGTGATAGAGGTGACAACCGGGCTTCAGAGCAAGGAATGTTCTCCTTTTAGTTATAACAGTAAAACTTACATACAGTAGGTGAACAGACTTAAGTGCAGCTTAACATACCAGATCAAAAAACATCAGGGATATTCTTTTACATACAGCTTTTTCTTCTATGTTATGTAGTTGAATTTAGATTCTCAAAATAGAATTATGGAATCAACAGGAATGACCATTTTTAGGGCCTGGTTGCTTTCCTAGAGTCACATCAATTGACAATTGAAGCAGGTGTCTGTTTCACCCCTGCCCTCAACAACATAAGCATTTCTATTTGAAATATCTCTAAATTTGATGTTTCTAGATAGAGTATTTAAGGTAAAATATTTGTCCTTGAGAATTCTAGCTTCTCCTCTCAAGTATGGGTCTCACAGTTTGTGGCAGCCTTCTTTTGGGGCAAACTTAAAATCATGACCTTTTCTTATGGCCAACAAATCTAAACAGTGAGAGCAATTTTTGTAACCTCATGGCCTGACAGGGTAGGATGAATATTAGAAAGCTCGGAAAAAGTGATTTAGCAGTCATATAGAAAGCAAGCAGTCTGTGCAGGGCCCCAAACACCCCTTTTATGCATATGCCGTGCGGTGACATGGTTCTTGGAATTTTCGACTGCCTTTAATTCATCATTTTAACTGTCCTCATTATCAGCTGAATCTCTGATTTTGAAGAGTGCTGACTTGGACTCTAGATAGACAGACAGTCCTGCAGACTGGGGCCTGCCTGGGAGTTTGATTCTGAGCCAGTAATGTCTAGGCCGGAGGGTGAGACTCTGTTCTTTTAGCATACGCTTAGACGATTCTTATGAGTGCCCAGCTTTGGTTGGCGCTGGTCTAGAGCAGGTACCTGGTGTTGCAGATGGGACCACTGAGGCCCGGAGAGGGCAAGGGACTGGCCTAAGGTCACACAGTGAGTTGGGCACACAGCTAGGATCAGAATTTATGGCTCTGAGCCAGAGTCTTCTCCACTGCATGGCCCAGGGATGCCTTCCTACCAAGTCAAAAGGAATTGGAGGAGTTAAAGAAATAAAAAACAGGACCTCAGTCCTCAGGGTCTTACGCTCCAGACAGAGGATGAGCTGCACCTATTTGAGACAGTAAGACACAAAGGCCCACTGCTCTGCATGGAGTCCCCAGCTAGGGTCCAGTGAATAGAGCAGGAGAAAGGGAAGACTGAACATGAATTGGCCCCCTGTCTCTGCTGGAGGCCTCACACACGTATTTCCTTTATTTCTCCCAACAATCCCATGAGGTTAGTCACTGTTACTATCTCTGGTTTACTGACGAGGAAGCCGAGGCACAGAGGCGAAGAAAAAAAAGGAGGGTCGCCAAGCTAGCAGGTGGCAGAGCCAGGATTCAAACCAAGGTGTGTCTGACTCCAGAGCTGGCTGGGGAAGTGCCTCCAAGGAGGACCTGGCCCCAGGGCTTCATTAGAAATTACACCTGCTAGTAGGACTTTTGCTGGCTAAGATCCGTCCCCAAATGACTCCGTGGTCAGTCCTCTGCGTTTTCTCTCTGGGGGAATTGAGGTGCTCAGGTTTGACGGATGTCTACCTGGGTCTGTGGGTTCCTGGATCACAGGTGCCCCTCAGTCTCCTCGTTCCTGCCTTCAGTCCCTTCATGCTGGAAGGGGAAAGCTGTCCAGGTTCTGTGGACTTGACCTGGAGTCTGGGCTCTCCAAGAAGAACATTCTCCCTTCCTCCAACTCAGACAGAGAGCTGTCCTCCTGAATCATCCCTGACCTATAGTCCAGCTCTCTCTACTAAGGGGAAATTTACCCTTGGATTCTGCAGCTGCTGTACTATTTGTGTAATTCTCCTTCCCACATTGGAGATGGGGCCTATCTGTGCCTCTCAGCCCATCCCCAGGTATGCCTTGTTAATTCTCAATTCTTTTCTCCTTTCTTTATTGAGGTAATATGCCGCTTTATAGCATCTTAGCAAATTTCACTTGTGGCCCTAATTTATTTGGTCTACATTTAAGAAAAGTATTTAGAAACCTCTTTCAAAAGTCAGTTACCTCAATGATCTTTGCACCCAACCGTGCTGAAACCTAAGTTTATTATGACCTTTTCATAAGGGAAAAATAACAGAAACGAGCTGCACAAAAAGCAGAAAATAACAGGATCTGTGGGCTATGCCTCTATCATGCCACACCCAGTTCAACATTTTCACATTTTTCTTAGGGAAGAACAGTTGTGACAGGAAATGCCTTGGTACCATATGGACTCCAAGTTAGACTACGTGTCCCTGGGAGCCTACTCCATCCCAGGAAAAATAAGAAGTTGACTTAGATAACCTCTAAGGTCTTGACCTAAAATCTTATGCTTGTGATAATCTGGAGTAACAACTGAATGCGACGCCAGCCTCCAGAGGAGGGAGGGTTCTAAGCTCAATTGTCCCTCCCGAGACATCGTATCCTTTGGACAGGGATAGAGGGTCCCTGAGTCACGTGACTTGGGATCTGCCCAAGCAGACATGTGACCTGTGGTCCCACCAGCAGATGACCAATCACAGGGATCCTTCAAGGCTGGAAGCCAGGACGGCAACACTCGGTTCTGCCACAGCTTGGCCCCTGACCCTTCCTGGCCAAACTTCTCCTCTTCGGGGGCCTCAGTTTCCCCAGCTATAGTCTGAGGCTCATGTCAGTTTCCCAGCCTGCCTCATAAGACCCTCATAAAGCTCCAGTGACACTCTGTCCAGGTAAGGGCTTGAACAGCCCTCTTTCAAGGTCATGAGCAATGACTTGCCCTGACGCCATCTCCAGCATCATTCATCACAGCCTCCAACCTTTCCTTTCTTCTCTCCTACCCCCAGGACTCCATATCTCCCCTTTCTAACAAGTAGCCTTGATCTCACTAGTTGTTACAGCAGTTCTGAGTCTCAGAGCAAGGACTTTGAAACCAGACAGGTGTGACTAGAATCCCACCTCCGTCACATGTAGTCCGTGGGGCTTTGGGCCAGTTAGCCTCCTTGAGCTTATGCTGCAGCTGAGCCGGGAGGACAGCAGTCTTGGAGAGGGTGAGATGGGACTGTGCCTGAAGAGCACCAACTCGAGCCCTGGCACACAGTAGATATCTGTCCCTTTGAGGGCCTCCCATCTCCACAGAACGCATTGCCAGAGCACTCAGTGGTGCTCACTCAGCTGGCGAGGTTGCACGGGGTTGGAAGTTCCACTGCTACCTTTCACGCCTCTCATGTTCTGCCCGGACTCCGTCTTCAAGCCTCTGCCCAGCCCTACCACCCACAAAACAGCAAGGCTTACCTTCTTGAAATAGTCTGCAAGGGTGTCAGGGTCCCAGGCCAGGACCTCAGAGCGAAAGGGCACGTTCCTGAACGCCATGGTTGCTCTCCTGGGACGAAGCTCACAAACTGAGCATGGGTGTTGCACCCATGGACAGAGAACCCCAAATCCAGAGCGTGGAGGCGTCTTCGGCTCTTCCAACTCCCAGGTACCCTCTGGAAAAGCTCTGCTGGAGCCAATGTCCTTTCTGCTATAGGCAGATCCCAGAAAGCAACGGCTTCCTCTGAGAACATATATGGTCTCTTCTCAGAAAACGACTCAGCAAGTTTCCTTTACCACTTCCTCTTCTGGGCTCTAAATACGTAAACAAGGAAGCCCAGCTCTGGGGGCTTGAGAGGCAGAGAGAGCTACGGGCTGGTAATTCCCTACTGGCCCCACCTACCCCAGCCCAGTGGGAGGGGCGATGAAGGGAACTTAGACTCCAGTGGGAGTCCAATGATTTCCATTAAAATCCCTGGCATCTATATGTCTAAACCACATTCCTTCTGGGCTGGGTCCTTGCAGATGAAAATCTAATTTGACGGTTGACCTAAACTATAGACAATCTCCCACATCGGTGAAGGGGAAGGAGCATGACCTTTTAATGCTTTCCAACCACCCCTCAGTTTCTCTCAAATGGATAAACTTGAGCTTCTTTCGCTGCTTCCTTATAGTTATTACAAACTCTGTGAGCCAGTGAGTTGGGCACCCAGGACTGAGAAAGGGGATCCACCGGGCAGAGCCGGGCTTAATTTCTGCTATGACTCTTTCCATGCTGGACAACCTCAGGCAAGGGCTGAAACTCTAGGAAGCTCAGTTTCCATATCTGAAATACAGGAACAGAAGAATTGCTTCATATGTACATAAAACTTAGATGCATTTAACTAGACAAACTTAAGGGAAAAAAGTTCAAAGAAAAAAATACCGATTGCTATTGATGCTGCCATATATTCTAGTCGCTATTGTTCCCACCGTATATTCTACTTACTATTTATTCCTCCAACATATTCTATCTAAAGAACATATCCCTGGAGACAGGAATCTGGGTTCTCTCAGTTGGTTTCTTAGACCCTGTGCGCTTCCTATACCTGAGCATCTCCTTGACTGAGGGGGAGTCCAGTGTCAAAAGCAAACCTATTGGTACAAATTCACAGCCTCCAAACACAAGTTCACCACTCATTTAGTGCTGCATGCACAGGCACACACAGATGACCATCTGTCCCAACGCTTAAAGAAAGAACAGAGCTCCGTTGCACTTACCGAGTGATGTTAGGTTGACCCCTGAGGTGATGCCTTCCTGAAGCTTTTTCCAGGATAGCTTTGGCCATACAGTTTCCATCTTACGCACAATCTAAGGACCCTCACTGTAATGTACCAGCCTCGCAAGGTCGTCGTGTAAATGAGATCTGCACATTGTCCCAGGCCAAGCACCTTTATGGAAATGGTTCATGAACCTGAGCTGATGTCATCCTCACCTCAGAGGGTGCCAGGGGCATCGACTGAGGCAGCCTAGGCCGAGCACTCCTCACAGGGCTGCTACCTAAGAGCTCTCAGCAACTAACTGTGCTCTAGAAAGCATGGCCTGCTGTTCAAAACTCCGCCACTGGTGGGAGAGGTCACTTCACTTTTCAAATCCCCAGAAGAGCAGCAAATGATAAAAAACCACTTGAAAAGACAGGAAGAGAGAGTATTCGCCTCCAAGTAGGGCAATCAAAGAAAATATCATGGAATTAGCTGGGATTTAAGCAGGACCTTGGAAGATGCAGCGGAGGGAGGGCATTCTAAACCTCTGTGTGATATATGGTGTGTGTGTGTGTGTGTGTGTGTGTGTGTGTGTGTGTGTGTGTGTGTGTGGGGTTCTACTTCATGAACAAAAAAACACACCACACCTGTGGAAAAGAACATTCAAGATCATCCTTAGAAGGAGAAGCAATTTCTTTTAATGATGTTCACCCACACTCACAAGAATGCAAATCTAGGGGCTTCCCTGGTGGCACAGTGGTTGAGAATCTGCCTGCTAATGCAGGGGACAGGGGTTCGAGCCCTGGTCTGGGAGGATCCCACATGCCGCGGAGCAACTAGGCCCGTGAGCCACAACTACTGAGCCTGCGCGTCCGGAGCCCGTGCTCCGCAACAAGAGAGGCCACGAGAGTGAGAGGCCCGCGCACCGCGATGAAGAGTGGCCCCCCCCCTTGCCGCAACTAGAGAAAGCCCTCGCACAGAAACCAAGACCCAACACGGCAAAAATAATAAATTAATAAAACTCACTCCAAATTTCATACACAATAAAAACTACTATAAAAAAGAAGAATGCAAATCTATAGAAAAGCAGAAGTTGGAATTAAGGTATAGCTAAATATGAGACTCTTTTGGAAGAATCATCCAGTAAATGTGGCCAAGATGGACAATCTGTAGAGCCCATTTGGAAGAGAGACACAGCAGTTAAGAAACCTTGATGACAGTGATGATGACTATAAGAATTGTCACGAATCAATGTGTGGAATCCTTCACATGTGCCAAGGAGTGGGCTAAGGACTCTGCACTAATTGACATTTAATTGTTGGCACTATTATCACTCCTACTTTACAGAAGAGAAAACTGAGGCTCAGAGAGGTGAAGCTCCTTGCCCCCCTTGCACCCAGCGAGTAGGTTGTGCGGCCAGGTCTCGTCTGGAACTCTGAGTCTAGAGCCCCTGTCCTTCACCTCTCTGCCACCTCGGGGCTCTGAGATGTTACGTAAATTGCACAAGGTGGAGCAGGGGTTCAAACCCAGCTCGGTCTCCAGTCTGTGTAATTTCCTCTCTATCAGTCTGTCTTCCACAAAGAGCAGGTGAGGTTGGCAATTAGGAGCAGTTAAGAAGAGGATACAGCACTTTTCGCAAAGCAGGACTTTGGTGTGTGCACCCTCCCCACCAGGTCACAGGCCCCTTCCCCAGAAAGGGCAGCTGAGCCTGGAGACCAGGTGGCACAAGGGGAAGGGGCTTGCTTCAGCTTGGAACCTTTACGTTTCCCCAGTCCTCAGTAATTTCCCAACACTCACGGGTTTCACATCTCCGGTCTCCAGCTGGAGGGTTCCAGAAATTCCAGGGGCAGGGCTAATTGACCCCCAAGAGAGGCTCAGGACACCAGAGTGACCCTCTACAGGCTGGCTCACTTGGCCCAGCCTCAGTCTCCACACCTGTAAAATGGGCGGTCATGAGAGCAGCCTCGGGGAACGGCCCACAGCAGAGGGTATGCCATGGCGAGGAAGGCTGGGGCCAACTCACAACCATCCTCCAAAGAGCATCGGTCTTGGCTTCAAGCACGAAGCAGAGCAGAGAGTGGGAAGCAGGTAAGGCACAGTGATGTAGAGCCATGGCCTCGGGGGCGGATACCCTCTCCCATCTCTGTCTCCCCCAGGCAGGTGGGGAAACCCAGAACTCATGAAGAAGCAAATTAAAAGGTTTAGTGGAGGTCTTCTCAGGCTTTGTAATCTCTGCAGGTTAGGAAGGGGGCAGTCTGTGCACAGTCAGAACAATGTCATATCAGTACACAGGGACAGGGGCTCATGGCGTAGAGAATCTTAAATGTGCATCCAAAAGAGCCTGTGGATAAGAGAGCAAATCTTGCAGGGAGTAACATGTCAGATTTTTAGATCTTAGAGACAAAGAATGGATATGGGAACAGCACACTGCACCCCAGAGTTGGGGGGAGGATCTCCCAATATCCCCCCTGCCGCACCCCATACCGTCCAGACTTGAAGCTCTCTCTTTTCCCTATTAACCCGCAGAAGAATTAGATGAGGAGATAACTGCTTTTCTTCACAGCTAATCGTAGAGGTGAGAAAAATATGCGATTTATTAGAAGAGTCTTGTGGGTTGCAGCCTCTGGGGGCAGGGGAAGGAGTTGTCACTTAGAGACCAGGAGAGAATGGCAAGTAGGTACTTTGGAGGAGAGAATGTGTTGACCTTCTTAGGAGAGGTACCTACAAAGCTAGAAGGTGGAAGGGAGGATGTGCTTATTTGGATGTGATCTGGACAGAGGGTGTTGTCTGGGGGAGAGAGACAAAGGTGGTGGCATGTGGCTCAGAGAAGGTGGCATCTAGGGACACTGTGAACCATGGAGAGAATGCCCTCATGTGGGTTCACTCCAGCCTCACCTCCACCAAATTTATATCACCTGAGGCCGAGATGAATCTCTACTGGAACTTCCCTTAGGACCTCTGTGGGTTTGTCTATAGTGGGGACCAGAGCTGCAGCTGTCACCTTCGCAGGGAGGGGACCATTTTCCCCTCCACTCTCAGAGGCTGGCAGTGGAAGCACCATCTGTGTGGAATCCTTCTGGATGACCAAGGGCTCCACCCACACAGAAGGGTCCAGCCAGGAGAGCCAGGAAGGGGCCCTGACCGTTCGGCTGAGCGGGGACAGCTCCATGCACCTGGCAGCCATACACTAAGACAGAATCTGGGGACCCTGCCTGGGAATGCTTGTGTCAGGAGGGACCGGCCTGCCACACAGCCATCCCAGATGTGCAGGGGCCGTCCTCACCATCACTCCTGGAGGCTGGGGGAGGGGGGGAGGGACGGGGGGAGGGGCTCAGGCAAGCCCCGGGCAACCCTTCTCCAGACCGCACTGCACTCTGTGTCCTGAGAGCCACCCCAGTCTGGACACAGTCCCCACCCCCGCACACACGCAGCCTGGGATATGCAGGAGGAAAGCATGAACCATCTGCTGCATGTGAGACAACGAAGAGAAATATTTTCCACTTCCTCAGACCTGACAACTTCATTCGTTTCAAATATATATATATATATTTTTCATCCTCTCTCTGTGTCTCTCTTTCTCTGTTGTTTGGGCTGAGGTGCGTCAGAAGTTCGAAGGTGGGTGGGAGGAACTGCTTATTGGGACTTCCTGTCAAGCCTCTCTTCCTTGTCTGCCCTATTTTTCACTCGGGCAGCCTATCCCCAGATAGCTCTGCTGCGAAGAGAAACTCCCCAGGTGCCCGCAAGGGTGAGTGGGTTGTGGGCAGGAGACCAGAGTGGGGAAGACAAGCTTCTCTGCTTGACAGAGGAGAAAAAACCTT